TATATATATATAATGACGTTCGATATTTTATGCATATAAAATTAAAATTATAAACGTAATTCTTATTGTTATAATTAATGAGCTTTTTTTAACCAAGCATTTTTATAATAAATGTAATAGCATAGACATTTTTTGTAATATTTATAAAATAATTCTGCAACATTGCTGAAGTAATATTGCTAAAAGAAGCCTTCCTAATGTCTCTGCAACATTGCATTGCAATATGCAACGTTGAAATATTGCAGCAATATTGCTACAAGTTTCTGTGCCGTACGGGTAGAGAAAGGTAATAATAAATATTCAGCACATCTGTTTGATTTCAGTGTGGGGTCGAGTCGAAATTATAAATGTAATAACGGCGGAAGAAGCGTCAAATGTGCTGTCGCATTTAACATACCGCCGCACGAAAAATATGAATGGATATGTATTAAAAATTGGTTACTTTAAGCAACAAAAACAATCAATCGCAGAACCGATAAAGGGTCAATCGAGTACACGTTACAGTTACAATGATGTCTTCAAAGAATTTGACAAGAAAATGCTAAATATAATTGCTCAAAACATGAATTTTCAAATAGAATACATACATCCGGCGGATAATAAATGGTTTGGTTCTCAATTGCCTAATGGAACGTACGTCGGTGCTATAGGTACTTAGTGATATTTCAAATTATTCGCGATATATACATATAAGTTCCTGTTACTTTTGTTTCCGTTTCTCTTTTGAATATCCGATAGTACATAGTCAGCTTAGGCCGGAATCAGACTATACGTATATTGAAGATTGAGGTTGAAGATTGAAAAATTCAAATTTGACCAATCGAAATGAAAGGAGCTAAAATTTCTTTGTCCTTATTGGTCAAATTTCAATCTTCAATCTTCAACCTCAATCTTCAATGCGTTGTCTGATTCCGGCCTTACACAGGCGACATAGTGTACGGTAGAACGGACATCTGCTTCATATCTTTCTTCGTAAAGAAATACAGTATAAATCCCAAGGAAGATGTAGACTTTAGTACATACGTGGACTTTGACAAAATATGTATGGTTGTCCCTAAAGCAACCAAGATACCTAAAGGAATTCGAATATATCACTTTTTTCCGCTGTCGGTTTGGATATGTTTGATGCTGACGCACGTTTTCACGTATTTAATATGGTACTTTCTGCAAGTCTTTACTCCAGAAAGGTACAGTATTTATATTTGAACGACGTTAACGACGCGAATTGTTTCACTGACAATGAGTGAAAAAAGTGAAGATACATTGTGATACATACTTACTTTCAGAAAGAGAAGTTCGCGCGCAACGATCTATCGATCGTTTCTACTGAACGCAGGTTGCCCCCAAAAATTGCCAGACACAAACGCGGAAAGGATATTACTGTCAGGCGTTTTTATTGCTAACGTCACTTTAGTTGGAATCTTCAACGGTATTTTGTACAACAGTTTCGCGCGTGACATGTATTATCCAGACATCGACAGTCTTTGCGATCTTGACGTTTCGGGATTGCCGATATCCTTGTTTTCCGCTGGCCTGATCGATCTCTTTGACGATGATGATGTCGAGTCGACACTCATGCAAAACTTGCGAAAGAAAATGCAATTCAGTGAAAATTCGGCATTCGCCAGAGAAAATTATTTTCCCATTATCAGCGAGGAATTGATTGATGTGGACGGTGGACCATTGCTTCATCTTGTCAAAGAATGTCTCGGTACGAAAAATACAATAACAAGTACTCATAGAAATTCTAATTATGTACGCTTAGATATGCTTATGTATGATAAATAGTTAATATCAAATGTGTATAAATTTTAGGTAAATTCTACTTGTCGTATTTGCTGCCTAAAAATTCAATTTTCGACGAAAAGGTAAACGCATTGATTGGCCAATTGAATCAGGCCGGTTTACCATCGTTATGGTACCAATACATTATTAATGATTTTGTTCGCAAAAAATTACTGTACAAAGAAATATTAGCTCGAAACAAAAAGGAAACGGAAAGCTTCGTGCCGTTTAATCTAACTGATATGCAGTCATCCTTTTACATGCTATTGATAGGATTATTAATATCCACGATAGTATTTTTTCATGAGAAGAGCTGGTTAAAAATACCATTGTTGCATATTGAAAAACCAAACTGTAAATCTACACGTGTTAACGGCGTTAATCATTGAATGGTAGAGTCGCATTTTTTCAACTTTTGCGATTTTCTCAGGATTTTTTCAGAGATCAAAATTGCTCAAATGACATAAATAAACTCAAATAATGTATGTCCACAATTATAAACAGACGCAATTATAAACGAAATTATGAAGAATACTTTCTCTTTTTTTCTCACGATTCCATCTTTTCTCTCTTAATCATTTCCAATTCCTTCCAATTAGATGCTAATCAAGCAACTTTTTCTAGCAAATAAACTTATTGTTAGTAGTAGCCTGAGTTAAATAGTTTCGTCTTGATTCGAAAAAAAGAGGAAAGAAATAATAAGAAAATTAGCGCGTATGCGTCAATATTTTTATATTTGTGACATTGAAAAAAGATATATAAAATTATGTAAATCGAATGTAATTGATGATAATTGTAAGAAAAAGCACCAAAGCACTGAAAGACACCAAAAGTATATACAGTGAGTTCAAAAAATATATGTACATGGGAGATGCCTTTTGTAAAAAATTTTTATTTTTAAAAAGTAAAGATTAATTAACGATAATTTATTAACAAAGAAGAAAATAGATTATATATCTCAAAATAATTTTACATAAAAAAGTGTCAAGCCAGCCTCATTGTTAGGAATTTCAGATTTTAAGAATTGCAATGGATTGATAATAAAAGGAATGAATCTCCGCGGAGAACGAGTAAATCTGACAAGCAAACAGACATAACAACGAGAATGTTTGATGCTTATGGTATTGTTGCTGTTGTCTCATGATAGAGATCTCTCGGAGATTCCTCAAGTTCCTGGGTTTGCTTTCCGCAGCTCTAGATTTTTTTTCGTAATAGTTACCACAAATTTGGAGTTAATTGATATTTTAGCGTTATTAAATAGCAAAACTTTATTTTATTATATATTGTTCTATGTCGTGGCAATTTCGTATGATTTTTGGGCAGTTGTTCAAACCCACAATTATAAACAATTGGACAAATCAGCATCAAATCGATGGACAAAGCGCGTTTAACGGAAGTTTGCAAAATTTTTTTTTATGAAATAATCTCGAAAATGTTTTATAACGTAGGATTCGCAAGTATGTACATTATGTATGTTAATCCAAAATATCTATAATTACATATCTATATTACAATATTACATTATAAACGAAATATATTACGGTAAAAGAAATATAGGTACTTATTCCATTTGCATTAAAGAAGACTTTAAATAAAAGTCGAGATGTCATGTCGTTTATGTAGTATTAGGGGATTATTGCTAATAATGTTATCAACAAAATTAAATGTATGTGTATACGCAATACGCATACGCCCGCGGGAGCCATTAGCGAGGAAGAAGAAGCAATACACACATACATAGCACATCTTTTTTAATTCAATAAAGTTAATAGATAAACTCGATACACACACACACACACACATTATAATTCTTTTCACGCACACAGCTAATCCCTTTTTTAAAATTTTATTTTATTATTCTAAATGTACCGACGTATGTACTTTTCAAAACAAATGATAAATACATGTAGTATGTGTTATTAATTTAGTAATAAAACGCACTCATTTGTGTAAACACTCTCCAATAGAAATGAGTAATTGCAAAGATTCTTCTCTTTGATTCTCTTTTTCATAAAATCTCTGCAAATAACACGAACACTTTCGTGTTATCGCGCGATGAATGACATGATTTTTAAACTTCGTCAGGGCTCAATTGTCGCTTTTCATATTTTTCCGTTGATACTTCTTGACCGGTAGTTGATTCCGTTTTCTCGCGTTGTAATCTCTTTAATAACTTGTTTGCCATTTGTGATATCTATATGTCGTGATACAGCAATATAATACGTATAATTATGGTATGCAACTAATACGATGCACCAAGACATATATAACGCATAATTTTTAAATTACCTGCGCATCGACCTCAACGACAGCCATAATGTCGTTGAGCGCTGTTAAAATTTCAGCGGCATCAGCTTGTTTCCCGCGAGCATCGAGTACTACAGCATAATTGATCAAAATTAATGGATCCTGAGGAGCTAATGCGTGTGCTTTCGTCAATGATCTTTCGGCACCTTCCAGATCATCCAAACGTTTTAAAGCCACTAAGATGAGAAGAGAAAAAAAGAATTCATATTTCAAGAGAAAATACATTCTGTTGGCAATAAAACTTTGGCATAAGACCTCTTTTTGGATGCCCTATTCTTGTTTCGCTACTCACTAATAAGACTAATTAAATTAGGCTTCTTTTATAATGGATAATGACTCTTTATATAAAATTATATAAAATATAAAAACTTGAATTTATTTTTTGTACTCACAACCCAATAACAGATATGGCATAGGTTAGGTAAATCGCGGCTGATGCAGGCTGTCCAGTGGTGAGAAAAACGATTCCTAGGTTACACGACGGGATGCAAGACATTGGATTCAAATAATGTGCTCGTTTCAACGAGCTAATAGCCTACGAAATATTGCAAAGGAATACTATTAGAAATTTGTGAATTTACAATACCCTTACAATAAAAATGTGCAATAAATTTACAAACCATATAACGTTTTGCTGTGATTTCACAATATTTCTCATTCGTCAATGTAACAAATAATCAATAGTGTCGCTAGCAAATAAAAAGCTCATATACATAGAAGTCATAGACGGTCGTAGAGTCTCAAAGAAATTCAAGTCAAATATTCTTCTTATATTTGACTGTGATTGGTCAGTTTCCTACGACTTAAGACCCCACGATCATCTATTAGATTTCTAGTAAACGAGCCTAAAGTATATCCAAAAGATAGATTAGATTCTATATAGTTTGCTTCTATTACTAATAATTATAGTTGGTATAACAGACTAGCAGCAATCACAATAAACCAATTTGTTGTCATATTTTCAGATCACTTGTTAAAGGTATTGATGCCTTGTTAAATTAACAAAATCCTTTCTCTCAGTGTTCCTTTTTTAACAAATTATAATATATAATTGTTATAAACTGAGTCATCGCGTGCTTCAAACAGAAATAATCAAAGAAAAAGAAATAACGGTAAAGATGAAAGTAAAACGGAAGAAAAAAAAGAGTAGACTCACCGCAACATATTTTTGTTTCGCGTAAAGGCACATTCCAATGTTGTTCCAAAGGATCGAAGATTCTGGAATGGTCTGTGACGCAATTTTATATTTCGATAAGGCCACATCGTACTCTCGATGACTCTGGAAAATATAACATACGCTGTCCAGCGAAGCAAAGAAACAAATTCCACGAAGAATCCAAAGTAAGAATAAGTAAATCTTAATAATCTGACGAATATGCATTTGTGATAGAATATGCCTTCATAATTATTTACATTAGCAAAGCAGAATAACGCTTTACCTTTTATAAATCAAACGAAACAATCAATTTAAGTAATTAAAAATTAATTTGATGAAAATAATCAAAACGAACATATAATTGGAGTACAATTAACTATCAATCGATTAAATTTTTTCGCAAATTAATGAAAAATTATCAAAGAGATGTTACTGTATGAATTTCTATAAATTTATGCACCTGCATTACATAAGCCATAGGCAAGATTGCCTTGACGCAATTAGGCGAATGAGCCAAAGCTGCTCCAAACTGCTGAAATGCTCGTTGCGTATCTCCGATTCTAAGATATAAGAGACCCAGTTCTGTCGCTGCATCTATACTCTGGGGATTCCCACTAAGAGTAAAGAAAGTGCCGAAAGTTTAAGTTGTATCAAAATGATAGAAACGCTATCGAAAGAAAGAAAATAAAAAAGCGATCGATAAAATAAGAAAGGTCTTAAGAAGAAAAAAGGCAAGTTCAGAAAATATGTTGAAGATGTGATAAAAAAATACTATACTAAAATAATTATACATGATAATAAATATTTTTAATTCGTTCGCAACTAATGGTATAACATGAAAGTAAAAATAATTTAATATAATTCGCGCGATTCATAGCTGCGACTTGTGATTCATATAACTTACTTCAAAGCTGCCGTATAAGCGTTTCTAGCTTCTGGAATCATGTCGTCTAAGAGATAGAGTCTCGCGAGATCAATATTGGGCAATTCATTTTTGGTTAATTCCGTTGATTTTTTAAAATATTTTTTGCCCTCTTGTAATTGATTCAATTTTACATAAGCCTCGCCTGAAGACGAGAAAGAAAATAATTCCGTTGCGGACAGAAGGCGCCATTTTACTTAACAGTTGAACTTTATGACTTTAATTGCAATGTGCTCAAAGCAAATACTCGAAATGCGATTACATACTTATTTATACGCATGCAACCTCGAGCAAAAGTACATTTTCCACAAAATTAATAAAGAAAGCATGAATTCCTTGATAGGTGCATCTGCAAATTTATAAAGCTAATGTGTGTGCAAAGTAATATATCGCATTGTGAAACAAACAACTTGCCAAGGCCATGATACATTTCCCAATCTGGTAGAACAGATATCTTTTCAACTTCCGCATATGCATCTATCGCGCGTTTGTGACTTCCCATTATCAGTCTAAAAATTGTCGCAATATTCGTTTTAATAATAGTTCGCGATATTCGTCGTATATGTAATTTATATTAAAAACAATTTCTTTTAATTACTTACAGCGATTTTGCTATCTGTTTAACGTTATCGATGTTTGTCGAATTCACGTTATATGCGGTTTGAAAACAATCCAACGAATCTTGAATCTTGCCCTCCTTTCGAAGAATTAAACCCTATGAAGATCATTATGCATTATCTGATACGATCGCGTAACAAGGATAAGTATTATTGGTAGTTATTTATATGTTATTTATTATTTACAAGAGCTACATAAATAAAAATATTATTCTTTTGTCAAATAGTTTTTTAGCAAATTCAGTCATTTGCATTACACTAGATTAGTGCACACTAAAAACTGCTAAATATAAAATTAGTGATGTTAAAGCACGAAAAATATTTTAAACAATTAAATAACCTATAATAATAATATTTATACGTTATTTAATAGAATATTCCTATAAGCGCAAAATGTTCTTAGAATGTTATATGGATATTGTTAAAAAAAAAAATTAAAATAATGTTATTATAATATTTCGAGAATAGCATAAATATTTTATTAATGTTACGAGAGTATTCTATAGAGCTTATATGTCCACTTATATAATATCCTAGGTATTATATCTTAATATTCCTGAAATATTATATAAATATTCCAAAAATACTTATAAATACTAATTATTTTTTATTTTGTGCAATTTGAGCACAATCCAGTAACAAAAAGTTCTTATCAGTCTATGCTGCATCTTGTGCTAAAAAAACGTTTCGACATGATTTTAAGTACATATCCAGTTCTACAACTGCCAAATCACAACGCGCCAAAATCATTTTCAGTTTTTAAACGTATACTTATACTGAACAGATGTAATAGTTTTACAAATTAAAGTAAATGCGCTGTTATAATACTTTTTAATGTTAATACAATATTACAGTAACATTAAATAAATGTTACTTTTAATAATCATATAATATTATCAGGAATGGATGCATAATTTCCATTAATATTTCGAGAATATCATATAATATTATATAATTTTAGTAAAATATTCTTAAAATGTTACATTTAATATTCTAAGAATATGCTTAAATATTACTTCATATTAAATAATATTATGCGCCTATAGGGATATTTAATTGTTAAAATTAATTACATTGCCATTGCATTTAAATATTCTGTATAAAGCAGTCTTTAATATGTGTACTTAATTCAGTGTGAGAACAAAATCAATATTTAATTATTTCTGCACTTTCCGCCATAGTTTGTCGCGGGTCGTGGGCAATGGCAAGTGCAGGTGGCAAACTATCGACGATTGTTGCCAACTTTGGTGCCAATTTTTACTTTTTGTGCATCAAGTTATGTATCAAAAGGACTTTCGATTATTCTTGAAAAATAAGAGAGTACTAGGAAAATATATACCTGGTACCTGAGAAAAAATGTTTCATATATAATCATATATAATTATATAAAACTATATAAAATTATATATAATTATATAAAAATTGACATATTTTATATATAATTATACGTATAATTGTATATAAAATATGTCCATTTATACATTTTTCCTGGGTATGTATAATATATGTAAAACATATACTATAGTATTTTCGTAGGTATGCGACATTTTTTGGAGTCTCAATCGCACCTTTAAATAATTGGCGTATTCGTGACCATTGGATTTCATTAATTCCTGCTCAATGAGTAGTTTGCAAGCGCTGTACTCGTGTCTCGTGTAATGTCGATGTAGCAACCAATTGCGACTCTCTATTGCTGCTATGTCTGGTGCTGCGTTCAACAAAACCAACAGTAAGAAACACGACGGAAAAATTGCATTTAACAAAGAACAATTTCGATATGAAGCGTATCACAAAATTATTTTGTCTTGTTATCAAAACTCAATCAATAGCGAGTCACGTATACACTTATTTACTTAAAGTTTTGATTGAATTGAAATATAATACCTCGATTGCCTCGATCGTTTCTTGTTCGTTGTACAACAGTGTTTTCTCGTAAACGACCATTGCTGAGAATATCATTTGCCATTTTTACGAAACTCCAATCTTATGAATCTTCAAATCTTGACAATCTTTAACAATTTCTCTCTTTCTCTCTCTCTCTCTCTTATGCTCATCCGTTTGATAACTGGTTTTCGTAAGTTTGAGAAGTTCGATGTTCGATTGTCATGGTAACGAAATATAAACTCATTTGGCGCATCCCGCGTATAACATAAATGGCTGCGTTCAGCAGAGAAAGCAGCTTTGCAACTGTTGTAAAATTCTTCAATACGATTGGTTCTTGCTTTTGGTTCCTTACAGATCTAAACGTATAAACCAATCATATTGAAGAATTTTACAACAGTTGCAAAGCTGCTTTCTCTGCTG